TGCTTCTTGTACTCGTTGCCTAGCATATATGTGTCTGCTATTTGCTTTTTCATACTGAAGGGTTGCCTGTTGTAACTTAACATGAGCCTGCCAATGACAAGGGACATGTACAGAGTGTATTAATATGAATTATTAAATTTTCAACCTCGGATAATGCATTTCTAGCATTCTGATTGGTTCACTCAATCTCAGTTATCAGCGCATATACCTTAGTTTGACCTTATATGGAAAACAACTAAATTTCTCTCGGACAAAGAGGTGGAAAAAAGTAGATTTCAGAAGCTTTCTACCGATGAGACAACAGAAAAAACAAGAAAATGCCATACTGGCAGCAACAAAAAAGCCACAAACTTTGGTTTGAAATTACTTAATAGTACTTCGAAGTTTCCTTACAAATTTAAAGAAATTATAAGCTTAATTCTTCCATACGTTGAGCTGATTAACAAAGTTTACATAAAAGTTTTTCAGAATGGCTTGCAAGTCCTTGTAGGAGTAAGTTTTCAAAACCATTGGCAGATTTTTTGCGTGTTTGAGGAGCTTTTAAACCTCTTAACACTTTCACAAATCCATAATGGGCCATAAAGGGCCTCAAGTGAATCCTACAATGAGCGGCTTTCCATTGAACAACAACAACAACAAATTGATTAATGAAGCTGGGTATTTGTGCAGCTCCAATTCAGTGGAGGAAGTCTAAAACGAAATTGTTTGAAGAGCAATCAGATCGACCTATCCAGTGTCAAATTCCACAGTCACAGCAGAGGAAAGCGAAAACAGTACTTGTCGGGAATAATTTCAGCACAGCGTCCTTCCCTTTCAAATTTTTCATTCAACTAAGTTCGCAAATGGTGCACATGTCATGTGATTTTCCCTTCGTTTACTGGAAGTCATATTAATATCCGGCTGTTTTGTAATATTTAAAATGAAATTTCGAAAATTCAGTTGTAATAACCAGATGTTTTCAAGAGTCTAAAAAAATTTACCAAAACAATTATTTCACTCATGCTTGTTGGATATGAGATAGTTATAGCCAACTCATATCCAACGTGCGCAAATGGAATAATAATTAATTGTTATATTCCTAGACTTTCACTCAACTAAACAGGGACTACCATTGGTTGATTCTTGGTCACATGGCCTTGACTAAAATCAAATGTATCCCGATCGTGATACATTAAGCAATGTACCCCGCTCGGGATACATTGCAGCACACTTCAGTTTGCTTTGCATCTCCTTTGCCTTTTTCTCAGTTTCTTGGTAGGACTTGTACATTTTCTGATGAGTTAACCAACTCTCCTTTTTCTGATTTTCTGCCTCGTTAACCTACAGTGTACATGGAATTCCAACCTTATTAATATGACCACTGTTGGTGCAGAAAAGGGTGCATCTTTTCCTGGATTTTATCCGAGGGCGGGGGAGGAGTACTTGTCTTAATTTTTGCTGGGTATGTTCCGCTGGTTTCTCAGTACCCCTACACTATCATAGTCTATTCTGTGGCCAATTATAGACCTCATCTAACTCGCTTTTGGGAAAATATAATTTTCACGATCCCAGCTAAGTCTCTTTCTGTTTAAGCATCCACCTTCTAGGCCATCCTATAATGAATTGGCACTTTTGTTAAACTTATGTAGTAGTAAAAATCTCCCCAAATTTCTACCTACCTAAATTTTCAGACCCCCAAAATCACGAAAATGTGCAACGCCATTCTAGTACATAGTAACTCTCTCATTGAAAATGCAACCCCATTATAGTCAATCCAGTCGTGATAATATTATCCCATCAAGCAGCAAATCCCTTTTAGCCTACCCCCTTGGTTTCCATACACAAAGAGATTTGGAATTTTTATCTCTTCTGGGCCTGGCTGTTCAAAGCAGGGTTAAGATAACCCAGCCAGGGTTTTATAGAGTGCCAAATTTGAATTCAGATAAGAAAGCGTAAAAGGCAGGTTGGGTTTAATTATTTTTGTCTACAATTCGTTGATTGGATGCTCTAAAAAGAATGTTTCCCAACAGCGAGGGTCCCCAATAGAATACTTCAATCCTGAATCCCGAGCCCCAATTTCGTGCAATCCCATAATGCTGATGAATTTTTTTGGACATCCCACCTCCCACGATACTTTCGATCCCGAATCTCGCCCAGATTTTACTTTAAAATCCCAAATCCCAAGATTCAAATTATGAAAATCCCGCATCCCAAAAACCCTATTGGAGACCCTCATCATCTGGCCTGAGAAAACAGCTGACATTTCAAGATGCCACCACTGGTTTCCCCACAAAATGACATCTGAGAATAAGCGCAGAAATTCCATACTGAGGAAGTATCACTTCCCAGATCTGAGTAGTGCTTCTGATTGGTCGTTTGCTTCAACCGATCAGATTCACTGCCCTGATCTGGGTAATGATAGACCATCCATAGGGAATTTCTAGGCTTGTTTCTCAGACATCATTTCGCAGGGAAATCAGTGGTGGCGTCGCAAAATGTCAGCTGTTTTCTCAGGCTGAGTATTATCCAGGGGATAGACATTTATCTGGTGGAAAGCACTACCCAGTCCTTTTGAACAATGAGGGACTGGCAGGAGAGAGTCACTGACTGAGAGTATATTTTCTTGCCCAAGAACAAATCATAATGACTCGAGTAAGGGCAAAAACTGAGACCTCTCGATCTGGCCCTAGTTGTTGTTCACAAAGGTAGATAGCGCTAATCCACAGGATAAATCTCTATTAATCAGATAGTGTTTACAATTGGTTTCCCCAGTACTTTTCTGCCGGATTGTGATTTATCCAGTGGATAGTGCTATCCAACTTTTGAACAACCGGGGCTTGGAGTTCAGCACACCGACCAACCCGAGCCCATCTGACCAGCAGCTCAATATTGCACAAGAACAAAATGAAAGAAACCTTGCTCGTTATTATTTTTGCATATCATTAACCTTTAAAAAAATGTGACAAGATGGTCACATCATTCAGGAAAAAGTGCCTTCGCTAACTCAAGGGGTAAGAGGATTACATGGAGGCCCTCCCCCCCCCCTCCCCACTCTAATGATCCCAATTTCTTCTTTTACATTACAAGCAGTTTATCAGAAAACTTTTAAGGGATTTTTCCAGGTACAATGTACCCCTTCAATTTTGATGTTGACTTAAGGAGGCAACTTGAAAAAAAATAACAAAATACAAAATTATTATTCTCATGATATTTCATTGCATAGTTAAAAATCAAAATTCTTAGAATTTACCTCAATTGTTGCCTGATTAAGCATTTCCTGAAGTGCTGTATCAAATGCTCTCTTCTCCCCGCTCGAAAACACTCTATTTTCTGCTTCTTGTACTCGTTGCCTAGCATATATGTGTCTGCTATTTGCTTTTTCATACTGAAGGGTTGCCTGTTGTAACTTAACATGAGCCTGCCAATGACAAGGGACATGTACAGAGTGTATTAATATGAATTATTAAATTTTCAACCTCGGATAATGCATTTCTAGCATTCTGATTGGTTCACTCAATCTCAGTTATCAGCGCATATACCTTAGTTTGACCTTATATGGAAAACAACTAAATTTCTCTCGGACAAAGAGGTGGAAAAAAGTAGATTTCAGAAGCTTTCTACCGATGAGACAACAGAAAAAACAAGAAAATGCCATACTGGCAGCAACAAAAAAGCCACAAACTTTGGTTTGAAATTACTTAATAGTACTTCGAAGTTTCCTTACAAATTTAAAGAAATTATAAGCTTAATTCTTCCATACGTTGAGCTGATTAACAAAGTTTACATAAAAGTTTTTCAGAATGGCTTGCAAGTCCTTGTAGGAGTAAGTTTTCAAAACCATTGGCAGATTTTTTGCGTGTTTGAGGAGCTTTTAAACCTCTTAACACTTTCACAAATCCATAATGGGCCATAAAGGGCCTCAAGTGAATCCTACAATGAGCGGCTTTCCATTGAACAACAACAACAACAAATTGATTAATGAAGCTGGGTATTTGTGCAGCTCCAATTCAGTGGAGGAAGTCTAAAACGAAATTGTTTGAAGAGCAATCAGATCGACCTATCCAGTGTCAAATTCCACAGTCACAGCAGAGGAAAGCGAAAACAGTACTTGTCGGGAATAATTTCAGCACAGCGTCCTTCCCTTTCAAATTTTTCATTCAACTAAGTTCGCAAATGGTGCACATGTCATGTGATTTTCCCTTCGTTTACTGGAAGTCATATTAATATCCGGCTGTTTTGTAATATTTAAAATGAAATTTCGAAAATTCAGTTGTAATAACCAGATGTTTTCAAGAGTCTAAAAAAATTTACCAAAACAATTATTTCACTCATGCTTGTTGGATATGAGATAGTTATAGCCAACTCATATCCAACGTGCGCAAATGGAATAATAATTAATTGTTATATTCCTAGACTTTCACTCAACTAAACAGGGACTACCATTGGTTGATTCTTGGTCACATGGCCTTGACTAAAATCAAATGTATCCCGATCGTGATACATTAAGCAATGTACCCCGCTCGGGATACATTGCAGCACGTGATCAAAGCATGGTGGAAAGTGGCGTGACAAAAGGCGGGAAAAATACTGCCAGGTCCTGTCAGTTTTCTTTTTCGTGAATGAACACAACAACACAAACACGAAGCCTCAAGCTAAAAAGCAACGATTTAAAAAGTTATCCAAGAAGTTCCCAGAAGAAAAACAGCAGCTAGTGGAGGAAAATGATGCAGATAATGTAGGGAAGGTACTTTGTAAATCATTCATTCAGCGGTTTTGAGAATTAAATTTGTGTTGCTATAAGTACCGAGTCGACTGTTTTGGTTCGCTCCGGTTATTCTCTCGTTGCTGTTGAAGTGAAAGTCTAGAAATATAACAAAACACTTAATGTCAGGTCCCTCGGGAAACCAGTTAGTTTTGTTTTCCCTCGAGTCCCGATGTTTCCCTCGACTTCGTCTCGGGAAACATCAGGACTCTTGGGAAAACAAAACTAACTGTTTCCCTCGGGATCTGACATTAAGTGTATAATGNACATACATTGTATGTGCCAAAGACAGAAATGTTCAGCTTAAAATCCCTCCTCAGAAGGATATCTGTAACAATTAAACTATTTTTGTTTTAAATCAAGACTTCAGACAGACACGCTCTTTGTTGTTTTAGCTAAAAAATAGACCGGAATCTTATCCAGCTTTTTTGCTTTTTGGAAAAAACATACAACATTTCTTGATTATAGTTGATCTGATACAAGCCTCTAATGTTTTCTTTTTTAATTGAATGCTAAGGTCTCTCTAGGGAAAAAAGAGATATCCTTGTAAACTGCTTGTCCTTCTGGGTTCAATTTTCTATTTCGGCCAGTTGAGTCTGACCTTCCTTATACAATCATGTAATAAACTCTGACCTCCCTACCTTACGCAGCTCTCTCAAAACATCATAAAAAGGTCGAGCTTTTTCAATGTTCTTATTGCCAAGCTTTTTTGTCTGAGCATTTAAATGATAAGTGGCAGCTGTCATGGTTTGCCGGAAGACCGCTCTGGCCTCCTACAAAACATTGAATAAGAAGAAAATCAATATTAAGAATTTACTTAAAAGAAAGGAAGCAAAGAAAAGAAAGAAGAAGGCTGGTTGACCGGGATGTAGCTACATGTAAGAGCCAGCTGCTATAGGTACATTTCTGGACTGAGGATATTTCGTGGATTTTCCAGACCTAACAGTCCCTATAGGTACATTGCTCTTATCTGAGTATTCTCAGGAGCTGACTTTTTAAATTCTTCCAAACAGATTTCAATGAACAAATCAAAAGAAAAAAACTTATTTCTCAATTTCGTTCGATTGGAAAGTCCAAAAACTAGATTTTCAAATCCATATCAATATTCCTCATCCAAAAGTATTGCATATATTGGATGCTGGTAATATTATCATTGGTTTAAAAATTAATAAAATTGTTGCCAAAAATAAGCATACATTCCTTTGTGCTCATCACATTGAGAGGTTTTCTTAATTCTGATTATGTTCAACCACAAACTCACAATGCCAATAAATCTCAGGGAATGTTGAGAGAGCTGAGAGACAGACAGACAGACAGACAGACGGGGGGCGGGGGGGGCGTAGGGGGTAGTGATATGCCAAAAAACCAAAAAGAAGGGTGGTTGCACTTATTTGAGTTTGAGTGGGAGGGGGAGGGGTTGGGTGGGGTGCTCGCTTATTCGAGGCTGGGCACTTAATAACTTTTTCTACAGTTAGGATGGGCGCTTATTCGAGGCGGGTGCTAACTCGAGGTTGGGCGCTTATTCGAATAAATACGGTAAGTCAAATACATTGTTGATTGAAAATCAACACTAATCGGTCTGAGCTAAGCAACACTGTAACATGCAAGGATTCAGGGATTCAAAAATAGTACACTTTTGTAAACTAATTTGGCCTTTTCTAGCGCTAACCAAACTCTCTGATCTAATGGGGAAGATATAAATGACAAAGATGAGCTTGGGAGCGTTGCGTGACGACAAAAAGATCGGTAAAAACGAAGCAGACATTCCATACTCACATCAAGTTCAGCTTCTAAATGGTTGACAGATTCCGCAGCGACGTTGAGTTTTTCGAGTTCGTCCTGGGTTAAAAAAAGTGAAGCTGAAATTTATCAAGCTTGTCACTGAGTCAGTGAAGATTAAACTTAAAATAGCTTACAATACTCCCGTAAATCTTTCAGTTTATATTTCACCTGAACACGAGGATCCAGTTCTTCTCCCTCTTCATCCTCCTCAGAATATTCATCTCCACTATACGAATTTCCATCTGCCATATCAAAAACGGATGTAAAACAAAGCAAAGGAACAGCAATTGCACAAAACTGCCGTTCAACCAGTGACATGTACGAGTCTTCGGCAATGTTCGAAAGATTGTCGGAATTTCTAGACGATACGAAGGTTTAAAAACCGCTGTACAAAATATCTGCTTACACTTTTGATTGTTTTGGTTTTTCGGTTCTTTGCAATTTGTCTAACAAAATGGGTAAAGTTGGCGTTTGGAAGGCATCTTATTATTGTAATAGGACCAAAACATGGATCTATGGCCGTTTGGTAATCTACACTCGTTGTATTCGCTTTTTGGAAGAAAAAGACGGAAGAAATTGCGTCGATTTTCGAATATACTATGAGGATTTCTTCGAGCTAAAAAAAGAAACTACATCCATATTTTACGCGGCTATATCAGTCCGTGTTAACACTGATAAATATTGGTTCTCGTCGTTTTCTGATCGTGGATATGTTTTTAATACAATCGAACATTTTTGGAAGGAAAGGTTATTTGCGAGGTGCGTAGAAATAATTATTCCAACCTCTACATGTACATGACACAAAATACGAATCAATTTCATGACGTAATCAATACTTTTGTATGGGAATCCCTTATTTACTTTTACCAAAAAATGCTCTTTCATTTAATCTTTCAGCTCTGATGGTGAGGAACCACCTAACTCTAAACTCCTCAATATCCTATACGATGCACAGAGTACACTAACTTCGGCTGGGAAGACTGTGCACAAACAGGGGCAGCAAATTGATGCGGCTTGTTCCAATATAAACAAGATTCACAATGACCTGAGCGTGGCAGAGACTTTAATTTACAATCTAGATTCCTGGTTAAACAAATGGAACGTTGAAACTCCACATGTGCACATTGATGTTCCAGAAAACAATGCAATGCTAAAGAAGTCTGAATTTCCCATTGTTTATGCCAGGACACAGAAAGAAAAGCACTTACCCGGTAGTTTAGTTCTATCAAATGAATCAGTGGATATTTTAACTGCGGAAAGAAATTTTGATATCAGTTTTACTCTGAGGGAAATCACTGAAATCAGTGTTCACACACCATGGGAGATGACCATATTGCAGCTTAGGATTGGTCAGACTGGGCAGTCTGTGCATCTGATAGCAGCACGGTTAGTGCACATTCTTCAAACACTTGAGGTCATGTTGCCTGGGAAGGTGAACTATGAGGATCCACTAGGTGAATTTGAAGAAGATGCTGAGGAGAAGTTAGATGGACTTACTATGCAAGGTGGGTGGAATTTCCGGAAGGGTACCCCTAGAATGGCCGATATGGGGAAGCTCCACCCAAAAGGAGTACCTTTTTCAAACTTCAGGAGTATAAAAGGGTAGAGATCTTGCTGGCTGAAGTATTTCAATTGGTAGAGACATCTGTCATAAAGGCCCAAAAGGGCTAAAAGATGCATTTTAGTGGTTAGAAAAGTCGTATTTTAAAGATAATGCAAGTATAGCAATTAAAAAGGATAAATAATAATAATAAATGTCTTTATTGCTCATTAGATAAAAATACATATCCAATGTTACAGGATAAAAAGATTAAAAGTTCAGCTAAATTACAATAGAATAAAAAGATTAAAAAATGCGAAAAAGTAGTTACACATGTCTGACATAAAATATCATAAAAAGTTGTATTTAAAAATTAATCTATTTACAAGTGTGTTCTTATAACGGTGTTTATCTTGGGCCTTTGGAAGCTTTTACGTCTAAGATTGTAGGTTAGATTCTTCTTTTCTTGCGGTAAGCACACCTTCAGAGGGTGGTCATCATACTGTTTAGCTTTTTGAAAAATCGCTTTATCTTGTTTTTGTGGTAATGATCTAATATTTAACTGTGTAGAGATAAAGCGTAACTTATAGCATCTGTCTAAAAATTGCTGAAGGACATTAATTTCCACAACGGAGGCACCATAAACAGATAGTCCATAGGTTATGTTAGGGAAAACAATACTATAGAAGAGATAATCAATTTCTGTCTGGCTATAGCGCTCTTTTCTACATACTCGCAGCTCATGTAGACATTTGTTGGCCTTGCACAGTTTAGCTTTTATGTGTGCAAGACAACGAATTCAGCAAATGCAAAGTTCTAAACTAGATTTGTAAAGGGCTACCATTGGTCAATAGAAGGTATTTGAAAGGAGTACCTTTTTTGCCAAAGTTGTATATAAAAGGTTAAGGGGTCGCACCTCAGGGCAGAGGCTCCCAGTATAAAACTTTGTAAAATACCCCCCACTCCCCTCCTCCCCCCTCAAAAGGGTAGAACCGCAGTTTTATTGTTTCACTCATTAGCAAATTAAGTAATGAAATGTTTCTTTTTTCCAATAACATGATTATCTGGTGTTTTGGGGGATAAGGAGACTGATGGGAAGCAAAAATGGGAGACAGGCTTGATTTCTGCTGCTTTCTGGCATCCAGGCTTGCTCCTCCCTGAGAAGAAAGGAAGTACCTCAGACAGCTCAGGTTCATATCCCAAATCAGTGGTTGGTAATCAAACCTATTTTGTGTCAGTCCTTTCTTTATCTCTTCTCTCCCCCCCCCCCCCCCCCCCCCCCCCCTCCCCCACCCCACACCCCCCCCTCTCTTTCCTCTCCACCCCTCTCACACAAAAACACCTATC